TACTAATATAATATTTACTATATACATAATTATAATATACTAACTACTTTATATTTATAATATAATACTAATAGCTATCTAGATTATTAACTAGTAGTATTAAAGCGCGCTTTACGTAACTACTAATACTAAAAAGAAAACTAGTAAGCTATAGTAAGTCTAATACTAGTATAAAGTCTCTAAACTAATCTAAGACACCTATATAGCTTATATAAATACTAGTAACTTATATTTTATATATAATTACTTATAAGCCTAGCTATATTAGCTATTATATTATATAACTATTTTTATAGTCTAATACTTTACTTTTTATATATTTAGCGCCTTCTAAATTAGTTAAAGTACTACTTACTTCTAGCTATTAAATCTACTATCTACTATAAAATTAATAAATACTTACTTATTAACTATTACTAGTACTTTATTTATACTAGCTATAAGTTTAGCGTCTAGTACCTAAAGTTATAAGAGCTACTCTAAAGTAATTATATAAGTAGTAGAAAAAAAGTCTATATAAATAAGAACTTATATACTTAGAAAATATTAGCTTACTACTTTTTTTAACTTATTAATCTACTTTATAATATTAATACTATTAAAGTTAAAGCACTTTCTAAAGTAATATATAAGCTTTATATTTATAGCTAAAGTTTATATAATACTTATTATAAAGTAGCTAATATAAATATTAACTTTAATTAAACTACTTATAAATATAGTAAGATTATTTATATTAGTATTTTTTATAATACTACTAAGTATTTAGATATTTTTAAAAATAAGAACGTTCTTTATAAGTATAGAAGAGAAGTTAATTTAGACTATATATTACTTCTTAAAAAAGAAGTAAAGTATATTAAAGAATAGAGATAGAAGTATTAAAGAGTTAGAAAAGAATATTTATAGTAAAGAGAAGAATTTAAGTATAAAGCTTTTTATATAAAAAGTTATATAAAGTAGCTATTTTCTAAACTATAGTATTAATCTCTTTAAAGAGTATTATAACTATAGTTATCTACTTAGTCTTATAGCTAATAGAAAGGCTTCTATATAGTATTATACTACCTTTTAATTTTTAGCTCTTCTACTAATATAAGCTAGCTTATTATTACTATTAGTATCTACTTTAGAAAGCTTATTTCTATATTAACTTCTAGATATAGTATATTTTAATATTCTAATAGCTATATAGCTTTATAGCTTACTTATTATTACTTTTAAGCCTACCTTTAAGTATACTAAAGAGGTCTTTATTACTATTACCTCTATAAGTATATTATAAACGCACTAGATTTATAGTAAATATTACTAAAAAAGTTTTATTAATACTTACTACTATATTATAGTAAATATAAGATATTTAGAAAATATACTTCTATTAAAATTACTATATAAAGTTACTAGACTACGTTTTATTACTTTACTCTGTATAAATATTCTACTATAATAAAAAAAAAAAAAAAAAGAACTATATAATATAGTAGTAATAGAAATACTAGTACTTACTAGACCTTATAGTATCTTTTTTCTAATAACTATAATATAATAACTATTTCTCTAGCTCTTAATAGAAGTTATAGTAGTTTATTATAAATACTATTTAATAAATAGTATCTTACTATATAAGATAATCTATAAATACTATATTTTTACTATTTTAGCTTTTATTACCTTTATTAAGTATTTTAGCTAAGGTATTTCTTTACTAAAGTATAGCTTTCTATAAAACTATAAAAAGAAGTAGATTTATTATTTCTTTTACTTTATATACTTAGTTATAGATAATAATATAGTAGGTAACTAGTAGTATCTTATTAGTAAAATTATTAATAGAATAGTCTTTAATAGAATAGTTTTTTTAGTTTCTCTCTTTTATAAGTAAGAAACTATAACTACTAAAGAGCTTATATATTTTACTAATAAGCTTCTTAAAAGTAAAGCTAAGATAAAAAATAATTAAAGATTTTACGCTAGCTATATATATAATAGAGATAATAAAAATAATAAAGATAATAAAAATAATAAAGATAATAAAAATAAAAATATTAGAAATAGAAGTAATAGAAATATTAATAGGCCTAGTATATAGCTCTAAAGTACTAGTAAAGTAGCTCTTTAAAACGCTTATAATAGCATCTAGTATAGTATAAATATAGTAGTTTATAATAGCCTTTATAATAGCTTCTAGAATTATAATCTTAAGAAGACTTATAGAAGTAGTAATAGTAGCGCGTTTAAGAGAAAAATAACTAATATAGTAATAATAAGAGGCTTAATTAAGCTTTAGTAAGTAAGATAATATAAATAGTAAATAAGATTAGCTTTAAACTTACTAATATAAAAAGAACTTATAAAAGAGGTATAAAGAATTAGAGATATAGTTAAGAGCTTATCTAGTATATATATTAGTATAGCTTTAGTATTAGATTTAAGCTACTAATTATATCTTTAATAAGTCTTTAGATCTTTAATTTACTATAAGCTATAAAATAAGAATAAGAATAAGAATAAGAATAAGAATAAGAATAAGAATAAGAATAAGAATAAGAATAAGAATAAGAATAAGAATAAGGATAAGAATAAGAATAAGAATAAGAATAAGAATAAGAATTTTATAAGCTAAGATTTTAGTATTTTATTACTTTATAATCTATAGCTTAGTTAGTTATAAGCTATTAAAAATATATAATTATATTATAATTCTCTTTACTATAGTATAAATAGACGTTAGTATTTATAAAATAGTTATCTTACTACTTTAAATTTTAAAAGCTTTAACTACGCTAAAAGTAGTAGTACTAAAAACTTAAGCCTTAGTTTACCTAACGCCTACACCTTTAAATATAAGATTTTAACTCTTTTAGAAATACGTCTTTTTATATACTAGTAATAGACTTAATTTTTTTTAAACTAGCTTACTATAAAATTATTAGTTTACTAAGAAACTAATTTCTTATTTTAGTCTTAATAAAGTTATTAAAATAAGTTTATAAATATTTTATAAAACTAGATAACTATCTTACTATCTAAATTATAGTTAATTAATTTTAAAGATACTTTTAAAAGATAAAAGTAAAAGTAAGATATTAAAATTTATATATATTACTCTTATTATTTATCTACCTAATAAATAATTTTATATTAGACTACTTATATATTATTAGTATCTTAAGTCTAATTTAGTATTATTTTTATAGTAAAATAATATTAAAAGATATTAAAAGACGTTAAAAGACTTTAAGCTAGTCTCTTTTAGAACTACTAAATAATTTTAATATTAATTTAGTATATATTACTATAGTAATATAGTTATTTTAGTATAGACTTATTTTATACTTACTTATATAACTTTCTCTATACTATAACTAGAAATAACTAGAAATAACTAAGATAATATATAGTAATAGGTATAACGCTAATAAAACTAGTTATATTTATTCTCTATTAACTATAACATAACGCTGTATTAATTATTTAGACACTTTATAACTAGTATAGGTAACTACTTACTTATACTTAAGAATAATTCTAGATAACTATTATAGCTTTTATCTACTTAAATATAGTAATACTTAAGAGACTATTTATAAATACTTTCTTATTTTTATCTAATTCTTTATTAGAATAACTAAGAATTTTCTTTAAAGTACTAATTTATAAGACTATAGTATTATAGATAAGCTTAGAGAAAGGTTCTATAGTTAGTACTAGTCTATATATATAAAGGCAATAGTAATAATATTAATCTAATCTATATTAATAATAAGCTTAGGTTAGTAGAAGAACTTATATATATTAGTAATAAGAAGTTTCTTAATAGTAAAGCTAATAAGAAAAATAATTAATAGTCTTACTCTAAGTAAATACGTATATAAAATTATAGTAATAAAAGCTTTAATAAAAGTTTTAATAAAAGCTTAAATAGTATTAATAAAGTAGCTCTTTATATATTTTAGAATACTTCTTAGAGCACTTAAGATATTAGGTATTATATTATAAATTATATCTTATTCTATAGCTACTAGAATAGCCTTTAAAATAGTCTTTCTAATAGTTTTTTTTTTAGTAGATATAAAGTAGCTTATAGTAGCTTCTTATAGTAAAAGTAATATAATTTAGAAAAAAGTAATTAAGAATAAGAAAATAATTTAGTTAAGTATTAGTAAGGTAGTAAAGTAATATAACTAATAAGAGATTAGTTTTATTCTTATAAGTACTAAAAAGACTTATAAATTATTTAACTATTATAGTATTTAGTATTAAATTTAAGCTACTTATATTTTTAATCTTTAAAGTTTTAATTATTATTATTATTGTTATTATAAAAATAAAAAGAATAGAAAATATATACTTTTACTAAAGAAAATTTTAGTATATATATTCTAACTATAAAGCTTTAAATATATTACTTTATTAGTTATAAGCTAATAAGTATATATAATTATATTATAATTTTTTTATAAAGTATTTAGTATTTATAAAATAGCTTTTTAGCTAGTCTAAAAGATTTAAAAGCTTTAACTACTTTAGAAGTAGTAGTACTAAAGCTTTAAGCTTTAGCTTACTTAATACTATACTTTTAAAAGTAAATAAAAGATATAGTTATATATTCTTTAAAGTACTAGTAATAGTTCTTACTTTTTTAGAATTAGTAGCTCTTTAAGCTTTAAGTATTACTACTTAAGATTTAGATTTCTGCTTAATAACTTATATATTATAAGCAATTCTAGTAAGATTTGTAACTATACTGTAGCTGCTGTATATAGTAACTGCGATAGATAAGCTTCTAGAGAAGCACCTACAGACGGGAAATAGCTTTCTCGTCTGTTAATATATGCTTAGTATCTGCTTAATAAAACTTTACCTCACGTTGGCGGAAGCACGATACCTTGATCCACACCTAAGATCTTGAGCACGCTGTTTATCTCTACCTTCACATCAAATCTCTGTAGTGATTAACGCACGCACCCACAGGACACGCGGTACCTGTGCTAGCATTATGTGTTCAGACCGCTCATCATAGCGTTGAAGGCGCTGTCATCAATAGGCCCCACGCTGCGCTTCCAAGCCTTGATCTTACGCTGCTCTTCAAGAATCGCGGCATCATCAGGATTACGAGTAGCCAGCATGTTGATGGTCGCGAGCGCAAACGGGACCAAGCTGGACTCTCCCCAGAGCCTCAAAAATTTGGCGTATCGGAACGTGCTCCTCATCTCTTGCGCCGGCGAAGGTTTCCATGAGTGCTCGACGCCCCAGTATCCCTCCTTGGTGCTACTCTTCACCTCTCCGTAGGACTTTTGGATGCCGGGCAGGACCTCCCGGTCTCCTTCTTCTAGCCATTTGAGTCCGATGGCTACGATGTTGAGATTCGTGGTGTAGTAGAGCTCGGCAACCTTTGCTACGAATGAAGGGCCGCCTTGCTCGACCAGACGCTTCCATATGTCTGACTTGTGGGCTTCATCGATCTCGTCTCTGATTCCAGCCCAAAGTTTCAGGCAGCCACCGTCGCCTTGCTTGAATAGCTGTGTTCCCTCAGCTTTTCTCTCGGTCCATGATGAGATGACAGCGTCCAGATCATGGAATTTGCTGCGTGCGAAGTCTTCTTTGGCTGACTTAGCAAGGGCTTCCTCGACAGTACCACCGATGGTGACCCGTGGCATGTCGCGGAAGCTCTGGCGGAAAGGCTCCAACAGCTCTCCCTGGGTTTTGGTAGAAGAGAAGTAAGCCGTTGGGCCTTCGAGCTGGTATGGTGGACGCTTGATCACCGGTGCAAGTTCGAAATCCAAGGTTACAAGATTCTTGTAGTCTTCCAGACGATCGTCACCTCCTTTGATGGCCTCGCAGAGGAGCTCGACGTCTCGAAATAACATGATAACGTTGCAAGGTTCCAACAGCTCTGAAGGTGGCAACTCCTTCCTCCATCGAGAGTTGCTGTTCCCTATGGTGACATGCATGGCGTAGCCTCGAAAACGTTGGGTGATGGGCTTGAAGACCTTATTGCCGCTCTTCTTCTTCGTCTTGGTGCCGTTGTCCAAGTCGAAAGCTAGTGTTGGTACCGAATTGGCCTTGAGCATGTAGGCGAAATGTAGACCGCCAGTCGAAGATACGAGCAGGAACCGGTTCCCTTTGATCATAGCATCGTAGCTCTCGGCGTAGATTTGCTTGTTAACGCGTAGGATGCTTGGACTGAAGTCTTTCTTAGACAGCATTGTGCCGTGCGTAACAGACTCGGGACGCGGGAATGTGCATAGCAGGATGCCATATATCTTGTCGCGAATCTCGCGGGGGAGGTCGAGGAAGCGGAAAGATGTCATGTCTGGTGGTTCTGATGAGCTGTTCGAGACGATGTGTAGAGGTTGTGTTCCGGCATGAGAACGGGCTCGTGCGGGGCTCAAATTCAACGGCGGTGAGTGGATACCCTGCGGTCTAGTACGTTGTGGGTTAGGCTGAAACGGCATGTTGACGAGTACTTGCGCGGCCTCTTTCGCGCAACAACGAAGCTCTTCCGCTTGCATTTATGTCCTATCTCCATGCATTAGGCACCTGTTCAATTTCGCTGACAGCAAGGATGTCTCAGCGGCATGACTGATCAAGAAATTCGCTTCTCGTTGAGAGGTATTCATAAGCTCCCCTCCGGTTTCTCGTACACTGGTATCGCTACATCAGGGTCGTACATAGATTGGACAATCTTGCTCCCTGGGGGAAATGCTATCTTGGTGCCATCAGGTAATTTCACTTCCCCGGATCTATCGCTCGCGATCATCCATGCGCTCTTCAAGCCCGCCTCTCTCGCGATATCTTCTTTGATTCGATAGACGATCCCCGGCCGTGGGATGAAGTTGTCCAAGTCTCTGCTATTTGCACTCTCTTCTAGCTCGTCCGGTGTAGCTGTGACCCAAGTCGGGTTTACGTAACGATACTTGATATGATCGAAACCCATGCAGAACATTTTGTCCTGAACAAAATCCTCCGGTATGGGATAAGGTACACCGACCATTTCTAGATCATTTCGGATATCGGTATTGGCGATATTGTAGTTCACATGCGTGATGACAACGTCGCGAATATCCATGCGAATCTTATAAAGAGTGTCCAAGTTCTCGGCTAATCCCTTATCGACGTCGAATTGCTCAGCAAAGCCGTCGAGATACCAGATACCGCCGTCGATGGGTGTTTGAGCGTCGATAACAAGCAAGGGATCTGCTTCGGGGAAGGCTCTCCTCAAGTCTGCATGGGAGAGGTTTGACAAGTCGCGTTTGTCTTCGATGAATAGTTGCTCTGCAGGATATGGGGAGCACATGTTGGCGCCAATGCCGAAGAGTTCCTGGACTGCATCGAGCTGGGCGGATGTGAGATCGGCGACGAGGATGCCAAGAAAGCGCTCTTTGTCGCGGTACAAGGCGGGGTCGTACACCATGCTTACGTAGGTAGCCCTGGAGGTGATCAAGATCCTTCCGAAAGTGCGTATTGCATAGCTTCGATGCAAGCAAGCTGTCGGTCTTTCTAGTTTCCTATGAGCTACTTGTTGGCGTTTAAGATGGCAAAGCGCATGCCAATTGCAGGCCTGATGATCGTCTGACGTCACATGTCGCGGGACGCGCTCAGAACGCGTATTGAGATTGGCCATGGCAAAACCGGGACCGCGCGCTGGAGCCTACGAGGCTGAGCGCCTCAACTGCCTGGTCATGGTGATTGGAAGCGCAATCCTGATATGTTGCACCTAACTATTGGTCCTATGCAAACGCTGGATGTCAGCGCATGCACACCTAGGTAAGCAGGCGGAACATCGCAGCTGAACTTTGCCCTCGCGCAACACTTGCTTCGAATGTCGCAACTATCGTTTGATTTGATCAATTATCTCACGGTCGCGTTAGCCCGCTATCTGCCTCCTCACTGTCCGCCCGCTGGCGTCTTTGTCTGTCGCAATCGCGATCATCCGACTCGCACGTCCAGCCTTCCACCGTACTACGTGCACTATGTGGCTCATGAGCTTGTTGTTGGCCACTATAATCACCTGTATGCTTCTCGGTCTTTCGCGCTTGACCCTGGAGGGCTTTTCCGTGAGGGCAGCCTTGGTTGTATATATTGGGGGAATCACCTGTATGCTCTTTGATCTTCAGTTGCTGCCAACAGGTACGCTGCCATCAGCTACGTGGTATGAGTATCCATGGTCACAGAGGGATTATGCTAGGCTAGCCGATCCGAAGTCATCTATTCGTCTTCTGCGAATGCGCCACGCCACAGGCAGGATAGAGCTTACTTTGGAGGAAGCGTCATTCTCGTCGTGGCCTTCGTATACTGCTCTATCATACACGTGGGATGCTGGCCCACACAAGCAATCGATACTCATTAACGGAAAACACCATGTTGTCAGCGACCATCTATGGGGTGCTCTTCGCAGCATTCGCGATCGGATGTTGTATGGAGACATACTTGTTTGGGTGGATGCGATCTGCATTAACCAAGATGACCCGGACGAAAAGGCTTCACAAATCGCTGTCATGCCATCGATATACGAACGAGCACAGGCAGTATATCTTTGGCTGGGCGATCATTTCGAACCACGGTGGACAGGGCTGGCGAAATCCTGGAAGTGGGATGTGTCGAAAACACTTCGTGAAGCCGAGGAAGAATGGCCGGGAACTGCAACATGGATATTTTCCTTGATGAATGCGGAGTATTGGAAACGTTGCTGGATCATCCAAGAGCTCCGCATGGCAAGTGACATATACGTATTGTACCATGTACCTAGCTGGTACAAGTCCAAGAGTGAGGCTATACCTTGGGACATTTGGATCCATTTGGTCAGGCTCTTCGAAGCGCAGAATGAGGCCTGGGTCCCTACGCACATTACTCGAAGAGTCCTGCGCATTGAGGATATTCGCCATCCCGTAGACACGAACCAGAACACCTTCACTTCGCTTTTGGAAAGCTTCAACGATTGTTTCTGCTCAAACTGGGCCGACAAGGTGTATGCTTTGATCGGGATTGCAGAGGACCACATTGCCGATGTCATTGCTGCGAACTACTCACAGTCTCGATTGGATATGTACTCAGATCTGATACATCTTCGAGCGCCCTCAGTGCCACTAGATGCAAGGACTTTGACGCAACAGAAACATGCGGTGGACATGGTCTATTTTGCGAGCCTACTACGAGCCAGTATATCACGAAAAGCGTTCTCGATGGCCAAATTCCATGGATGGCGCCTTCCTAGACAGGATCCTGGGAGGTGGGAATACATACACAGGACCAGCTGTATTCCGTGGTGTTCGTGGGAGGACCAAGTTGTGGCCAGTATCATTGGCTACGTTCAATCATTGCTCATAGGTCTAAGAGACTCGACCAAGGGCCGTCCTTTAGACTTGGAGTGGTTTTGGCACTGTTCCATGCCAGAAAATAGTCAGGACTGGTCACCAGTGGAGTCGACTACCCGATCCGTGAGCGTTTCGGGCAGAATGACAGGAGTGGTGTATCAAGTAGGCCCCACATATTTGTCGTTCTCCACGGACCCAGGAACAGCGAAGTCCTGGTTGAGGGAGTTAGGTAGCGACGCTCTGAGAGAAAAGAGAGACGTTGATCGACTGATCATGGGCCTACGATACTTGACGGCGGTGCTGAAAGGCCGGGTCGGCTTCAAAGTCCGTAACTTTGTTCCGTTCGACGATACAACAAGGTTTGGCTATCTACATTCGAGATTATTCTTGGCCAAGGACCCGGAAGGCATTCAGTTCGTTGGAATTGGGCCCAAGACGACGCGATCGGGCGATATTTTGGTTCAGTTCCTCAAAACGGATGCTGTACTGCTCGTACGTGAGTCTAGTCGTCTGGGATTAGTAGAGACAGTAGGGCGCGCAGGCGTCGTCAAAGGCGAAGGCACGATAAACAGTCCTTCATGGGATAGTCTCTCTGGAAACGACCTGATCCAGAAGGACGAGGATCAAGCGTTCGAGACTTTGCTGACACTGCAGCAACTCACGCGCCTCTCGTTTGATTCAACCGTCTTGGACAGCGAACGCGTGGCATGCCATCTTCCAGTTCCAGAGGCCGCTCGGTCCTTGGGATCGTGACCGCATATCGGAATCGGACCCTTGCTATACCATGCGAAGTGGGGAAGCTGCAAGCCACCATGGTGGGAGCCTGGGGTGCATTGGTGCCACAGGTTCGGCCCACGTTGACGCCGAAAGTCGATACAGTCAATGCAAGGTGACAGATTTGACGTGTGCTCTCTTCAGTGGCCAGGAGTGTGATGATGGGCGGCGAGAGTGAAACTAGGTGGTGATGCTCGGTGTGTTGTGCTGGCCGTCTGGGCGTGGATTGGAGCGCTATGAGACCCTGCTTTTGCACTCCCCACATACTTGTGCTAGCCCAGCGCGTGAGGAAGTCGCGACTGAGAAGCGACAGCTGCGCCATAGCATCCTCTGCTGTTCAGATCCATCCCATCAGGCCGGCACTTGCTGGACACCCCACCGAGAGCGCGATTGGGAGTGCATTGATCAGCATAGGCCCCTGAATCCGGCACCGAATGGCGACACCACCCCCGGCTCGCGACAGAGCTCCCTCGGAAAGCGTGCCAGTCGGGAGTCCGCAGCCCAAAAAACTGCCCGCCCCCTCAACGCCCACATCCTCAGTCCGCCGCAAGATGGCTGCCAATGCGCCTTCACCAGCCTCGAAAGATGGCGTTCCTCCCCGCAGGCCCACTGCAGCCAGCGGCACCGCTGCGAGCGCCCGCCGTCCTGCAGCGGCATCAACAAGCACGGCGCGAACCACTGCGAGCGCGTCCAAAGCCCCCACCACGGCGACATCGCGCACCAGCACAGTCGGAAGTAGCCTGAATAAGCCGCCTACGCGTCCGGCAGCGGGGACGACGGTGCGCAGGACCATCTCATCGTCGAGAACCGCCTCCGATGCCGAGCCAGACCTGTCGTCCGTCACATCGGGCGACGAGAAGAAGAGGACAGCAGTGCGCCGGACGCCCGTCACGTCGTCAGCTACTTCGAGGCCATCTCCTGCCAAACCGACTTCGAGGCAATCCATTGCGCCTTCCTCCACGACAACGACTGCCGCCAAGCGTCCTGTAACCACACGCCCAACTGCAGAGGCAGCGACGACCCGCACTGCCCCACGCGCCTCTCTGGCTGCGTCAACACGCCCGACCGCTACTCGACCCGCGGCAGGAACACGGACGGCAGGCGCAACAGCAAAGGCGCCGGCTGGGCCTGCGAAGAAGCTGTCTGTTTCTGCCCCTCCACCACCAGCGCCAGAAACGGAGGATACAGCCGAAGAAGCGTGAGTCAGCATGAACTGCCAGGGTAACAGATTGCTAACTCAATCACAGAGAGAGCCCCGTCGTCGTCACCCCTCGCCGTGCGCCCCTCAAGGACAAAGCTGCCTCCGATGCCGAAACCGAAAAACGCAAGAGCGCTCTCGAGCCCATCAGGGCTTCCATGGCGAAACTCGGCGAGGAGCCGCCGCGTCCGGATACTGCGCCGACGGGACGTGCCGAGATGGATGTGGAGATGAAAAGGCGGAGCGCTCAGATCATGCAGGACTTCTTCAAGGAGACCAACCTGCGCGACAAACTTCAAGAGCAATGCGACGACCTCACCCGCGAAGTCGATAACCTGCATTCCGAGAAGGACAAGCTGCGCAAACAGCTGGCAGATGCTCAGGCCGCCATTGTTGAGAAGGACAAGGCCATCTCCGGCGGCTCAGATGCCTCGCCCTCGCAGCACCGCGCCCACACGATCCTCGTCGAGGACATGGAAAAGAAGTTTGCGAGAGAAACCAAGCAGCTGGAAGAGCAGAGCCAACAGCTTGAGGAAGAGAAGAAGGCTGCTCAGGAGAGGGAGGCAACCGAGGCAGCCAAGGCCAGCGAGCTGCAGCAGGTCTTGGACGATTTGAACGCCGAGCTGGAACAACAGGGCCAGCAATGGGACGAAGAGAAGAAGAAGCTCGTCGAGCAAGCTGCGCAGATCGAAGGGCTCAACAAGGAGATTTCCACGCTTCGGGATGAGCGTGACAGCTTATCGCAAGAGCTGGACATCGCCAAGAAGACGTTGGAAAACCTGGAAACGAAATTTGCGGAGCTCGAGCAGACCCAATCCGACAATCTCCAATCGCGCGATGCTAAGATCACCGAGCTGACCAAGACTGTCGATGAGTACGTGGCAGAGGTTGCCTCTCGGGAGGAGAGGCATACCAATGCCCTCCAAGAAGCACAACGGTCTCTTGAGTCAAAGTCTTCTGAGTCTTCAGCTGTCGTGGAGCAACTTCAGTCCGAGATCCAGACGCTACATCAGAAACACACTGACGAACTGCGCCTCAAGGAAGAGACCATCGCATCGCACATTCAGGCGCAAAAGGAGCTTCAAGACGATATTGCCAAGCTGCAAGAACAGGCTGATCAGGTCTCTG